GCCCTTTCCCCTTTTTTTAAAAAAAAGGTTTGGAAACTTAAAAAAACTGGGTTCCAAGCCCTTACCCCCAATGGGCTTTTTCCTGGCTAAAAACCTTGTCAAAAATCCCCCTTAAGGCGGAAAACTTTTGAACCCTGAAAGGTCAAAGTTTTTTTAAACCCCCCCCCCCCCCCCCCCCCCCCCCCCCCCCCCCCCCCCCCCCCCCCCCCCCCCCCCCCCCCCCCCCCCCCCCCCCCCCCCCAATGAAAAAAAAAAATACGGGGGAAATTTTTGAAAAAAGGGGGCGCCATAGTACACTGAGAGACAACATAATAAGTGTCAGGGGCCCAAGATGTTAACTGCCTCCTGGCATAAAAAGGGGGGAATTCCCAAGCCCCCTGGCTGTCTTAAAAAGGACGGACCAAAAGTCAGTCCCACCGGGGGGGTTTTTTAAAATTTTGGGGGGGGTTTTGGGACCCCCCCCCCCGGGGTTTCCCAAACCAAGGGGGGTCCCACAAACCCTCTCGGTAAAACCTCAGGTAAGTAATTATCTTTTGTATTACAGTGGACCTCGGGTATTCGAAAATTAATCCATTCCTGAGAGCTCATCGAATACCGATAATATCGGGAAACTCGAATCAATTTTCTTCAAAGAAATTAATGGAACTCAAATTAATCTGTGACAAGCACCCAAAAGTATGAAAAAAAATTTTTACTAACTTGAATATTAAGTTTAATGCAATAGAATAATTATAATAACAATAAAATGAATTGACCACTTACCTTCCTAATGAAGATCTGGTGATGATTGATGAGATGGGGGAGAGAGAGGTTTAGTGTTTCGAGGGGAATCCCTTTCCATTAGGAAGGGGATTCCGGGGTACTTCCCTTATTCTTTTAATGCACTAGGACCAGCTTGAGAGTCACTGGCTTCTGTCGACACAAACTTGTGGGCCTCACATGCTAATCACATTATGATGCCACTATCCGATTCTTAAAGTTCTTCAACCAAGCCTGTGTGGCCTTAATTCACTCACATCTCCAGTAGAACTTGCAGGCAATTCTTATCCAAATGTTACATGGCAACTGCCTAGCCTTTCAATAATGCATTGCTGAGAGATGCTATCTCCTGACTATACTGTTTCATTTATCCAACAGTAAAAATTTCTCAACATTTTCTAACACTGCGGTCGCTGTTTTCGTACATCAAGTTGCACACTTTTGCAATGAACAGCTTCTTGATTGCTTTTTCCTGGTCACTATAGTAGAGATGCTTTGTTGATTGTGGTTTATTTACAACCTGATCCCTCCGACACACGCACTCACTTTCGTACTTCATTATTCTTTCTCATTCATAAGTCATTAGCGACTTTTCTCTCGACAGGGTTGGCACTAGAAGCTTTCTTGGGGCCCATGGACTTATTTTGTAGAAACAAGCACCAAACAGTGATAACTATGGATAATATGGAATTACTGAATGTATCCTAGATGCGGCACATGGCTGGCTTGTAAAACTAGCAACGCCTGCCCCGAGCGAGCAGGCCATCCGTGGACAGGTCTCATACGAATCGTATCGAAAGGTTTTCAATCGAATCGAGGCCAAAATTTTTTGTTAAAATGCATCGAAAAACCGGATTTATCGATACCGGGGGTTCCACTGTGTACTTTCAACATGTCACATTTTGAAGAACACATTGTAAATTTTCAAGATTTTTTTTTAAGTTTTCAATATTACTTTTTAATAAAATTTCACACAGGTGCTCTTTGAAATCTAATATTAAAATAGTGTGAAAATATTAAATGACGGCCATTTCCCTACCAAGTAGGGTGACCTGAAAAAGAAACTTTCACCATCAGTTCACCATCACTGTTGGCCAGAGGTGCACAATACGACAATTCAGTGTTCCTCTATAGCAGTAAATATCCCAAACTCCTGCCAGTATTTGGAAGAAAACAATTAAAATTTCAAGCCAAAAAAACCTAAACTATAAACATATGATTTTTGCCAAATACAGTGGACCCGCATAACGGATCACCTCCGAATGGACCAATTATGTAAGTGTAATTTATGCACAGTTGTTTGTACGTGTATGTTGGGGGTCTGAACATGGATATCTACTTCACAATATTCCTTATGAGAAACAAATTCGGTCAGTACTGCACCTGAAACATACTTCTGGAGTGAAAAAAAATATAAACATAAACATGTTGGGGGTCCACTGTATTTAAAAGATTTCAACATTGCTTAAAATCACACCACATCCACTATTAACATCTTAATTATGAACACAGAGCAAAAAGTAAAATGAATATTATTACATCAAGAGGAAAAGTTCTAGACTTGAGTTAGTTTCAAACTTGATTCAATAAATTCTTCAGAATAGTTTACATGTACATGCATTTTATTGTATTAATTTGTATTAAGTGTAAGGGTACACTGCAGTTCATACCTTCGATTACAGTCCTGTGGGAGTGATGCAGCTGCAGCAGCAGCAGCATAAAGCTCTGGATGCAGCTGAGCTAATGTGTTAGCTATGGACGAGTTTGAGGTTGAATTTTTATTGGTGGATTGTGACGTCTCGTTACCTTCCTCACCGCTCTCGCTGCCTTCCTCAGTGATACTGTTGGCCCAAACCCTGAATGTGAAATTAGAATAAAGCATGTGGTTCTCAACACCAGACTAACATTCTGAAGCTGCATTATACACAGACATTATACGGTGCTCTTCGACTTAAAATGGGGTTAGGTTCCGACAAACCCGTCGTAAACTGAAAACATTGTAGTCAAACATGAATATACTAAGTAAACAAATAACTACTATCACTAAATAAGTAAACAAATAATTACTGTAATTAAATACCAGTATTGAAAAGTAAATAAATGAATATAAAGTTTATCCTACCAATAAATGTACAGTACTGCACAATGGTGATATTATAATGGTGCTATCGCATCATCATAAAGTCGAAATGTCCTAAGTTCGAACCATTGTAAAGTCAGGAGCATTTGCATATACTTCAATAAAAAATCTAATTTAATACAAATTTTGATGCAAGATATATTGTAGCTGATTATTACTCTATTATATATTTATGGGGAATCACTTAACCCACAGGGTTCATAAAGATCCTGGAGAATGGGAGTGTAGCTCCAATTCCTTGGATCATGAGTTCACCAGCATCAAGGCACCCCCTGCCCTGAAGGGAAGTAATTGCTGAAACAAAATTCTTACTGATAATACAATATGAAATATTATCCACTCGAGGGACTAATTAGCAATTCTCAAGACAAGCTGCGAGTTTCTTTAAGTAAAACACTGGGAAAAATGGCCATGAATTTTCCTTTAGAAAGACCACAATTTTAAAAAAAAATCATGAAAGTTAAGACACATGTGCAACATCTGGATATCTTTATTGTAGTAGACGTTTCGCCATCCAGTGGCTTTATCAATACAGATTCTAGGACATAATAGGAAGACAGTAAGAACTATATACAAAAGATGAGGTAATCAGTCCCTCGGCCTTGGAGTTAGTGTTCACAGCATCGTTCTTGCACAAAAAAAATCATGTCCATTAAAAATTATATCATTATTGCATATTTCAATTTTTCAGAGTAGTCTGAGGCATTTACTGACATGCTCCATTTACCTAAAATGTGTAAATTATCAAACTTTTACTCTTTGAAAGGATAGATAATTGTATATTTACTCTGGATTTATCACTCCTTTTAAAGTGTAACTTTGATGGCAAAATTTGTAAAGTACAAAGAACTGGTAGTGTACAAAGAAATAGGAACAAATTTTATTTTTCTAGGATTTACAAAAAGATATTTACTAATTTCAGAATACAGAATGTGTACTGTAATAATAATAATGTTGTAAGACCCTACCATCAACCTCAATTCCTGAGGTTATAAAGCTGTGCTTAATTCCAAATACGTAATAGGAGATTAAAAGATGCTAGCTAGCGCAGTGGTGAGCAATTCATCTAATTTTCCTGTCCAATTATGAAAATGGAAAAAATGTGGCTTTGTTTTACAAGTTAGGCTTAGCCCTAAAATACTGCATAACTAACCCATTAGAAGGCTTTTCACTTTCTTTCTGTTTTGTCTTTAGAAGTAGGTGAAGAACTGGAAGAACTAGAGGCGCAGAAGCAGCTGCTGCTGCTGCTGCTGCAACAGCAGCAAGTTCTTGAAAGGGCTTCAAGTCTGGCATGAGGGAAGCTCGTCTTCTTGATGCTCTGCTGCCCATAAATGCTGTGGCTGGTGTCTTGATTGAACTATTAGTGAAACTGATGCGTCGACTATCCTGTGTCTGTTAGGGAACAAGTAACATAAATAAATACCACGCACTAGATGTAGATGATATTTTCACACAATATAAGCAGTCTGATGCATGGTATTTAAGACAGTAAAAAGAAAACCTAATCAGCTATGTACTAGTGTAACATGTTTGGTTAGGAAGGAGAGGAAGGTGCAAATGAAAATATTCTCCTGTCTGGCATCTGCAGAAAAATCATAAAAAAACAATTTGCTATATTAATTACCACTGGATTACAAGCAGAGATGGAACAAGTACCAGCATATATCCTTGAGACACACCAGTGAGAAGCCTCAACCATCTTGGTGGCCAAGACTACACTGGGGGGCCAAATATAGGTTAGAGATCCACGTAAGAGACCATTATAATCTGCAAATCTTTATAATAAAAATCCACCAGGGACATTTGAATCACAAAAAATTATGGCCCTATTGATGTGCCCCCCATTCTGCCATTTAACTGGTCATTGAAATAAGAGGGATTTAGATGTGTTCTAATATATAAATTGGCACTTTCTAGGACATTTTTACTCTAGTGACTTCTTGGTGTAACTTTCATAATATTTTCATTAATTTCTGAATCTAAACAGTCATTATTCCATACTTATGAGCAATTGAAAACCACCCTCTCTCAAGAAAGGAAGGCTAAGAGTCATTCTTTGCATCAAAAAGCCCCTCACCAGCATCAACATTACTTAAGAGCTTTTAACAGGCAAGAATGACCTGAAGAAGTCCTACTACTTGTATGCTTTACTTTAACCCTTAAATGGTCCAAACGTATATATACGTTTTTTCAACATTTGAAAGTAAGAAAATGTAGATCATCTTTTTTGTTTTACATTTGAAAAACGTGTAAAAAAAACTTTTATCTACATTTTTTTTTGTTACATTTGAAAATATGTTAAAAAAAGTAGATCTACTTTTGTAGCTACGAATTTGAACGTTGATTTGTTTGGACTGTTTAAGGGTTAAACAAAACATAAAAGCATGGGTGAAAAAGGACACCAGTAGAGAGGAACTTTATTGAGACATTTCACCATGAAACAGGTTTCCTTACTTAATGAAGCCTCTTCCACAGGCAAAATATTTCAAGGTTCCTCTTTTTCACAACTTGTCAGCTTTGTCATTTGTCTTCAAAACACAAAAATGTGTTTAATATTGATGGTAGTGCCTTGCCTTATTGGAAGTACCCTGCGAGGCTGAGAGCGCGCAGACGTCTGGTTGCTGCTGGAGAGTCTACTGCTGACTGGTTGTTTCCACCACTGGCCCCTTGTGATGTCGGTAGCTCAATCTGGTACTCGTTAAGTATTCTGAAACAAAAATTTAATACCAAACATAACTTCATTATACTTTATCATTACATTAATGGAGGGGCATTTGAATTTCAGTATCTACATGCCCCTGGCAAGGCAGTGACAGAGTGAACGATGGTGAAAATGTTTCTTTTTTGGGTCACCCTGCCTCAGTGGGAGACAGCCAGTGGTAAAAAAAAAAAATAAACTATATGAAGTAGAATGTGCAAAGCCTGTGTATCTATCTTGATGACACTTCCCCAACCAGTGGATTTTCCACCTCAATACGAAGTGGACTGGTTACATCTTCCACTGTCTTCCGTACTGTATAATAAAATCTTGGTATTGTACAGAAAAAAACCCACTGCTTGGTGAAATGTCTTCAAAGTAAAGATACAAAGGTAGTGCACATGTGGTTAATTCATCTTCATTATGTTCTATTTAGATTAAGTATCATTCAGTTATAATTTTCCATAAATGATTTTTTTTTGAATGATATTATGAATAATTATAAAAAATCCCAAATAACTAATGTAATACAGTAATGTCTGAAACTAAACCATTTATCATTCATCAAGAGAACAAGAGAACTTTGAACAAATGTTACTTGGTATCAAAGTTAACACTGGTGGCTGTGGAACCACTGGTGCTTACCACAGTCCACCGAACTCATTACAAGTTTCCAGTTACAATTTCTACAGTTACTTGTATAAGCCTAGGCATTTCACAACTTCACAAAGGGGGCATTAGTGCTTGCAAATTTCCTTTTTATTATACACAAAAACCCGCACATAAAAGAAGAAGCTTCGACGACGTTTGGGTCCGACTTGGACTATTTAAAAAGCACACTCATTTTTCGGTCCAATGGGACCAAAACGTCGTCGCAAGCTTCTCTCTTTTACTTTGGGTTATTTGTGTAATTTTCCCAGTCATTATTGTGCCTTTTTTTTATTGTTCTTCTCTATTATTATAATTTCACAAAAGAATATACTAATGTAGGGGGGTGCATGCACACAATAAACAAGTACAGTAGAACCCCCCGTACCAGGTTTCGGGTCCATGGTTTCACTTACCCCCGGTTTTCCATGGCCCCGATAAAAACCCCCTTAACTCTGTTTAAAAATGGCCCCCAAAGTGCAAAAACGTGATGGTGACAGTTTTTCAAATTTTAAAAAAAGGGAAATCGAAAAAGTGCTTCCCATCAGGTAAAAAGGTTTTGGGCCCCCAAAATTCGGGTTTGTGGTAATGAAGGGGGAGGGGGGGGCAAATATAAACTTAATTTTCCAAAAAAAGGTAGTAGGGAAACAAAGGAAGAAAAAATTGAAAATATTATAGGATTTTTTACTATGGTTTAAAGTACCCACAGCGGGTCATGGAAGATCCCCCCATACGGGACACTACTGAAATTATACACACGCATATGCTTTATACTGAACCAAAAAGTAATTGCAATGAGTTCAAAAACATACAAGAGTCTTATAAAGTGATTTAAGAAAGGGTATGGAGGGTAGGAAGAATGAATTTTTTTTCAATACTTGGGAGTTGAGTGTGGGCGGAGGGGTTTATGAAGGAGAGGTTAATCAAGAATTGAGGAGGGAAAAAAGGTGATGGTGCTTTGAGGTATTGTGGAGTAAAAAAAACGTTATCTATGGAGGCAAAGAAGGAATGATGATAGTAGAAAAACATTTTTTTGGGTGTAAGTTTGGGGTGGAAAGCAGCAGCGAGGAGACTTGGAGGCAGTGGAATTTTTTTTTTTTTAAAAAAAGGAAAAGGGGGGGTTTGGGGTGTGGGAAAAAAATTTTAAAGGGGGGGGGGTTTAAAAAAATTCGGAATGGGAAAAATTTAAGGGGAAAAGGGGGGATTTTTAAATTTAAAGGGGGGTAAAATTTTGTAAAGGGGCGGAAGAGGGGTTTTTGTTGGGGGGTGGATTGGGGTCATTTTAGGGGGGGGGAAAAAGGAAATTTGGAAAAAAAAATTTTTCAAAAAGTAAAAGGGGAAAAATTTTTAAAATTTGGGAAAGCTTTTAATAAATTTTTTCTTTTTTTTTTTAGGGAAAAAGGAAAGGCGGGGTTTTAAAGGGGTTTTTTTTTCGGGGTTTTCCCCCCCGGGGGAAAGTTGTTGAAAAAAAAAAAAAAAAAAAAAAAAAAAAAAAAAAAAAAAAAAAAAACAAGTACATTCCCAAAATTTTAGGTGACCAAAAATTTTGTAAGTTGAAAATTAAACCGGTTTAATAGCATTAAAGGGGGGTTTTATTTTCAAAATGTTTCTACCTACAAAGAGATTTTGAAAATTTTGCAAAGTGGGGGTTTTGTAAAATGTAATCTTCCAATTGTGATACAGACTGAAAACTTTCTCCGGGGTAAAAGGGAATGAATAAAGTATTTTCGGGGGGATTTTTCTCTTTTTTTGTACCCTCTTGCCACTTTGCGAAAAAAAAAAAAAAAAAAAAAAAAAAAGATACCAAATTTAATGTGCTTACTTTCAGTTATATATAATAACATGTATGAAAAAACCCTGCAACCCAGTTTTTGGTATCCTTCTAAATTGGTTTCCCCATTAAAACAAACTTCCCCCCAGTCCATTTTTGTGTCCCAAACATGAAACCCCAAAAAGGGAATGTAATTTATGCCCAAAACAAAAGAGGGGAACAACGGGAGGTAAATGGAAAATAAAGTAAAAAAATTAAAGGGAGGGAGAATTTTTTTAAGGGGATTAGAGGGAGGAAAAACTTTTAAATAAAATCCAACTCCCAATGTCCTAAACCCATTTTTTAAATCATATTGTACTTTTTTTCAAAACCCAAATCGGCAACCCTTTTTTCCCCTGTAAAGTTATTCTAAACAAATAACAAAAATAGTCAAAAATAATGTCACTGAAAATAAAAAAAATTATGAAACTAAATACAAAGACTGCGGAAAAAGAAAAAAAAATGTAATATAAGAAAAAGGGCCCCGGTTGGGGGAAAATTTTTTAAACATAAAGGAAAATTTTATTAAACCCTTTAAAGTAAAAATATGTTAATCATTCTAGGACCCCGTTGTAAAATCCCTGATTAAAAAAATTCTTGGGTTTACGATTTTAAATACTACATAAAAAAAAAAAACAAATAAAGGGGCCCCCCATAAAAAATCAAAGCGACAATTTGTGTGTTTTGTAATTTTTAATTTTTTTCTAAAGGTAATTCTTCCCACAATATTCCATGGGAATAAATTGGTAGTAGGCCCTGCATATTAGGGGATAAAAAAAAACTTAAGGGGGGGGGTCCATTATATAAAGATTCACAAAGGGCAAAAATTTTGACCCAAGATTTACAAAGGCCAAAAAATGTAAGAGGTGTTACTATTTTGGGGGTTTTAAAAAAGGTTTAAATTACAATATCCAAGGGAATAAAGGTTTCATTTCAAATTTGTGGAAAAAAAATTGTTCACCGGGTACTGGATTATTGCACAGTTGTTTAATTAATTTAAAAATCCCCAAAAAAAGTAATACTATAATTTTATAAACAACTTTTTAAATTTTCATAAGCAAAAAGTTTCCCCCCCCCATTGTATTATGTTTTGCTTGTATACTTATGGCTTGTAGTAATTGTCATTATTTTCATTCAAGTTTTTACTTTTTTTATATATCATTACTGTGCTTGCTATGCACTAAGTCTTTACTGTGTTGCTATGCACTATAGTCATTACTGTGCTTGCATGTCATTAGTCATTACTGTGCTTGCTATGTCACTAGTCATTACTGTGCTTGCTTTGCACTTCATTACTGTGTTGCTTGTCATTTAATCATTACTGTGCTTGCTATGTCATAGTCATTACTGGCTTGTAAGTCACTATAGTCTTTTACGTCTTGCATGCCACTAGCTTTTCTGTGCTTGTATGTCACTTAGTCATTACTGTGCTGCTATGCATATCTTTCTGTGTTGCTATGTCACTATAGTCATACTTGCTTGCATGCACTAGTCATTACTGGTTGCTAGCCCTATAGTCTTTACTGTCTTGCTAGTCACTATGTCTTCTGTGCTTGCTATGTCCTAGTCATTTACGGCTTCTATGTCACATAGTCATTACTGTGCTTGCTATTCCTAGTCATTAGTGCTTGCATCCCCACAAAATCATTACTGTCTTGCTATGTCACTTAGCTTTACGTGCTTGCTATGCACTAAGTCTTTACTGTGCTTATATGTTGCTTGTCATTCCTACATTTTATTAATTCATATAGTCATTTACTGTGCTTTTAAATTGCCCTAAATCATTACTGGGTTTTCAGATTCCCCAAAAACCCTGAGAAGACCCCTGAAGGGAGGTGGACTCCGTGCCATGGTGTATGTATTCTGTGGGGGGGGGGAAAAAAGGGTGTTTTAGGCTGCTTTTCCTTCTTACACAACCGCCCAGGGTTCTCCCGCCCCTACTTGATTATTATTATAATTAAAACTAAGCACTCCCCTCAAGGGTCATTTCCATACCCAACTTGAATGAACCCAAAAAAAATTTTTTGTTGATACATTGCTGTTTTTGACAAAACCCATTAAAGGGCACATCCGGAAAAAGACGCTAGTCTGCCCCTTATCCCAAAAGAGATTTCCTTTAATTCTTCGATCAAGAGACTAACCATCAAAGCCTTAAGGAGGAAAATGCAATTTTTTACATTCCAGGTGTTTTAGAAACTCTAAGTCTACACTTTTATCATTGGAGTTAACAAATTAAAAAAGCCCTCAGTAAAAAACAAAAAATTGCATTTCATTAAAATGTTTATTTTTAAAATTTAAAATTAGGAAATTTAGGTTAAAGTTTGTTTTTCTGAAGATTTTTTACAAGACACAGCAAGCACTGGAAGTGTTAAAAATGTTTATGGTAAATCTGTTCTATATTTTCAAAAAAAGTTAATGTATTGTTCGTAGTTTATTAAGGGATTTGTGTAATTTTTTTTTTAACATGCTGGTGTCTCCCCCTGAGGCGGGTGACCCGAAAAATAAACACTTTCACCATTATTCACATATTACTTCTTGCAGAGGCAATAAGTTTATTCGGTATACCAAATACTTTCACAATTACATAATAGAGGGAATTGTAGAGAACCCGGGATAAACCCCAAAAAAAATCCCTCCAAACTAAATATCCCAAAAACCCTTTTAAAGTTAGGCATGTACATCCCACCTCCAGGACTCAAGTCGGCTAATGGTTTCCTTTTAATCCCTCCAAAATATTACCCTGCTCAAACTTGGCACTCTTTAATACCCAAAAATCATTTGCCCACCACTCCTATTTCACACCTCATAATGCCGCAGTACATGTTTTGTTGTGATTTCTTCCCTATATGATCTATTAAATATTTTAACATATTTTTAATCCCCATGGGGAAATGGGAAAAGAAATTTTTTCCCGAACCATTGTATTGTAAAGGGACTAAAAAGCCGGGAAAGGAAAAAGGGGTAGAAAAACCTCCCCCTGTATACATTACTAAAATTTAAAAAAAAAGAGAAACTTTAGTTTTTCTTATTAGTACCCTGCTTCATGGGAGAAGCCAACAACTCACAAATGAAGGGCATTTGAGGTTTTTTTTAATATATATTTTGGGCAGATGAACAAAACAGTACCACATTTTGGTACAACCTTAATTGAATCAAGCGAGTGAAATGGTTTCAAAAATGAAAATAATTTTAATACTGCAAAGGAATGTGAAGATTTAGCTAGATCAACCCGGTTTTGATGGCTATATGCCCAGTGGGCCACCAGCAGTCACCCTGAGTGACCGACAAGCCTGTCCGGGCAAGGGTTGGCAGTAGGAAAAAATTTTAAACCATCAAATAGGTTTAAAAAAAAAATTTCAACAGGGAAAGGGTAAAAACTTTTTGGGGTTTTACAGTGCCTGAGATGTAGATACATAAAGGAGGATCTAATATGGAGGGTCTAATTTTTTAAAATTTTCTTTGAAAACTCTAATTTTTTGAAAGTTTTTCAATTCTCTGAAAGTTGTTCTAATTTTCTGAAAGTTGGTTTTAATTTTCTGAAAGCTCTCTCCATGACATAATCAAGGACCCAAGTTGAAGGTTGAAACAAAAAAAAATCCCCTTTCACTGACCCCTAACAAGACGAGTCTTTTGGGGGAAGTGGCCAGGATTCCGATGTCTCCTACCTGCAACACGCCAAATTTTCACGTCCATGCATTCCGATTTTCAGTGCCTGCCAACACAAATGGTACTTCAAAAAGTATTCAACAAGGAGGCACATGCCTTTAAGGGTTTAAATTTTTGCATAAACGTAATAATAATAATACAATATAAAATAATAAACTCATTTTACAACATATACCTTATACAGCTAACATTAAAGACAAATCCCCGGTTTGCAAGCATTTCCCTTTTATCTTTTCTTATCCTAAAAAATGCGGAAAGGAAATGAAAAACCCTTCAAAACTAGGGACCCAACCCATGATGACACCCCGGCATTGTTTTTTTGGCGGGGAAAATTTGCCATCCGCACCTTTTTAAGGGGTGAAAATTGGACCTGAAAATTCAAGCCCCCCATAGGGGTAAAAACCCTCAATTATAGGCTTGAGGAAAAAGTATTCCCCAACGCAAGGGGGAATCAATTTTCCCCGGAAACCCAAACTAGTACCAATTTTTCAAGAAAAACCCATCGAAACAAAAGATTGGCGAGGACCCTCCCCCCAATAAAAAAGGGGTCCCAGCCGTTAAAACCAAAAAAAAAATTAAGGGGCCGAATTTTAATCCTGCAACTGGGGGGGGTTACCCAGCCCCTGAAGTCTTTAGCTGGACTGGCAGCCCCTAAACCTGCAGGGGGTGGCCGACTTTTTCGTAGAAAACACCCTTTATATTCCACCAGGGGGCCGTAACAGAGGGGGGGGGGGGACCCCCCAATCTTCCGGTAAACTCCCGGTAAAAAAAATTTTTAAGGATTTCCCCACACCAGTGATAAACCCCCAAATTTTTACTGCTAGGGAATGAAAAAAAAAAATACTTGCAAACAAGAACAAAACCCCCTTAAAACTTGTCACATTTTCATTCCTATCTCGAAGGCTTGGAAGCCCCAATGGACTAAAATTATAAGGCCCCCCCCCATAGTGGGGTTAATTTTATGTTCCCCCATGTTCATTTGAAAGTTAAGAAGTGGAATTATGTGCCCTTTAAAGGGGAAATCCCAAACATTTTCCCGGGAGGTACTAATCCCCAGGACCCAATTTTTGAAGAGAGGCCACTTCGGTTAAAACACACATTTGGAGACCCGTTTTGATATAAAAATAAATTTTTCTGAGGTTGTATGAAAAAAATAAATAAAAAAAAATTAGCAGGTAATATTCCCCCGTTTTTTTATTGGCCTCCACCCAAAATATTGGGCACTTAACACTGAACCCGCACCCAGTAGGGGTGGGTCCCTCCCCCTTTCTCATACTTGAAAAAAAAATTAAATAATAAAAACATGATGTGAATTTTAAAGAATATTATTTAAAACACTTAAGCAATATTCGTTAAACTAATCAACTAATATAAAATTTATATAGAATAATTCTACCCAAAAAACCTTTTTAAGTGTAAATTTATAAAAAAATAATTGTGAAAAAAGGGTTCGTGGTGGTTTTTTATTCAACCCAAAAAAAACGAAACATCGTCCCCCCAAAATTGTTATTCAAAATTTCACGACTTCCTTGGGGGCCTTATTTCCTTGAATGTTTATTAGCCTGGGGCCCATTTCCCCCCCGTAATTTGATACAAACCCTGGGCCCCTTTTATGTCCCCCCTTGAAAATTTGAGTTCATCCCCCTGGACCCCCTTTGTCCCCTTATTTGAGGAAGCCTTTGGCCTTTTTCTCTGTATGTTAAAAGGTAATCCCCGGCCCTTGTTTTTGTAAATTTATTCTTTTACCCATCTTTTACCCGTAATTTCAGAACCCCCCACCCCGGGGTTGACTGTAAAAAAGATTTTTAACTAAAACTTTTGTTTTGCAAAATTTAGGGTTGTCCTATTTGAAAAAGGGGTTCCCTGTCTGGAGGGTTTTTATCAATGGTCCAAAAACCAAGACGGCGCATTGCCCGTTTTGCCAGACTGAGTTTTTTAAAATTTTTAATTTTCATTCAGAAAAAAGCTTTTCTAATAAATTTTAAACTAAAACATACATTGTAAATTTAAAACAAAAAAAGGTTTTTCCACACAAGTTCTTCATATTAAAGAGGCAGGGGAGTTTTGCAGGGAAAAAAGATGTTCAGCTTCAACCTTGGAAAGAAAAGATTTGGGGGCATCCCAGCTTAGAAAGGCACCCCATTCCGTAAATTTTCTGAGAAGCCCGTTGTGGAAAACTTTTCTAATAAAGATCCCCAAAATTTTTAAGTGTTTAAACGGCTTTTTGTTTTTAACTTTTTTTTTTCCAAACTCAAACCAGAAAAAAGTGGAAAGTCAACAAGCATCGCAGTGGGTTTCGAAAAAGCTGAGGAAATCTTTCTTCATATCAAAAAAATGAAAAGAAAATGGGGAAATAAGTTAGGTTTTGGACCATCTTATAGGGTGTGAAGTTTGGGGTGGAAAGCAGCAGCGAGGAGACTTGGAGGCAGGGGAATTTCCCCTTTTAAGGAAAGTGTGGTGTAAATATTATCAAAAATTCGGATGTGGAAATTAGGAAAAGGGTGGATTTAATAAAGTATTAGCAGAGGGCAGAAGAGGGGTTTTTGGGGTGGTTGGTCATTTAAGAGAAAGGGATCAAAGTAGAATAAGGGAAACATATAAATTATGGGGGAAGGAAGGGGGGTAGGGGTGTCCTCAAAAGGGGTTTGGAGAGGGGGGGGAAAAGGGGGTTTTGTGGGCAAGGGGTTGGACCCCCAGAAAGCGTCTGGCGGGTTAGATAGGATGAAGGGAGACAAATGGTACTGGGCCCTGACGATCTTTTGGGAGGTGAGCGGGGAAATATTAGTAAAGGGACGGGGAAACCGGTTTTTATTTTCATATAGTGGTTCCGGCCCGGAAAGGGAATACAATGCCTGCATTTAAAGGGGGGGTTTTTGGGTATTGGCAGTTTGGGGGAAAATGTTTGTGTTTTTATATGTTATCTTCAAAACTGTTGTATCTAGCACCTCGAAAAAAACAGGATAATGTGCGAGTGTGGGTGAAAAAGTTTTTAATGATGATGAAAGTATTTTTTTTTTGGGGATTTTCTTTCTTTTTTGGGTCACCCTCCCCTCGGGGGAGACAGCGACTTTTTCAAAAAAAAAAAAAAAAAAAAAAAAAAAAAAAAAAAAAAAAAAAAAAAAAAAAGTACAGTTACACAAATTTAGGTGACCAAAATTATTGTACACGTTGAAAATTATAAAAAAAAAAACAGACAAGTTATGAATAGACATGTCAACAGCTGGGTATTCATTTTCGAAATGTTTCTCACCTACACAAAACTTCTTCCCCCAAAATAGTGTGTCAACAGATGTAGTTGCGATTAAAGTGTAATCAGTTCCATTGTCCAGACTACAGAGCTAATTTTTCCTCCTGGGCTGAGGAAGACCACCTCAAGTAGTTTTTTTTCAAGGGGTGACGGACTGATTATATCATCTTTACTTTGCTACCACATCTGCCACCTTTGACTGAAGAAGCCTACCAAGTAAGCAAAACATTTCAACAATAAAGATACCCAACTGTTGCACATGTGTCTTACTCATCATTATCATTTTAAAGTAACTTTAAATACTAACCTCGCAAATTCTCCAGTTCTTGGGATCCCTCTCGTACATACGCTTGACGTTCTCCACGTGTAACAACAACACTTCCAGCGCCCGAGACACTCTCCACTCCTGTTGCACTGCTCCCCACACCTGCAACCCCACACACACACAGTGTAATGTATACTATTCCATGCACCAAAACAGGAAAGAGGGGAGACAAGCGGGAGAGTGGGGGAATCAGGAAAGGAAAGTAAGGAAAATTAAAGGGAGGGAAAAAGTAGGGTTAAAGGATTGAGGGGAAGAGCAAACAGTAAGAGAGAAATCCAAACTCCCAATGTCCTAAACCCATCCTTTAAAGTGCAGGTATTGTACTTTCCATTTCTAGGACTCAAGTCGGCTAACCCCTTTTCCCTGAAAAGAATAATGCAAAATCGAAAATACGATAAATAAATAAATAACTGCACTGAAAAATAAAAAATTTACTGAACAAAATACAAGACTGTACAAAAAGTAAAAAAAAAGTACAAGCAATTTACAGTTTTGCCCCCCTTCGTGTTGGGTAATTATCTTAAGTTTCATCTCCAAGGTAATTGCTTTTACACCATTGTAAAGTTGAAATATCACAAGTTGAATCATTCTAAGTTGAGAGCCCCTTGCTTGTATATAATACCACTGATCTACACAAACAACTTACTTCGCTGTTACGCATTTTAATATACGTACATAGTAACAACAAAGAACAAAGTAAAGTGGACCCCCGCATAACGATTACCTCCGAATGCGACCAATTATGTAAGTGTATTTATGTAAGTGCGTTTGTACGTGTATGTTTGGGGGTCTGAAATGGACTAATCTACTTCACAATATTCCTTATGGGAATAAATTCGGTCAGTACTGGCACCTGAACATACTTATGGAGTGAAAAAAATATCGTTAACCGGGGGTCCACTGTATATAAAGATGTGCAGCTAAGTGTTCCACTAAGTCTTAGTATCCAAGTATGTTACAAAGGCACAAAAATGCTACAGAGGTGAATCTACTCATCTCTCCTGAATTATGAAACACCAGCTTAAATTAACAATCATCCAGGAAGGACCGAAGTACAAGGTTTCAGTTTCAAATTTGTGGATTATGTAAATTGTTGCATCCAGGGTACTGTGACTTATTGCACAGCTTGTAGTTAATGTACATTTATAAAATACCAAATAAAGTAATACTATAATATTTTACTATAATCATTACTGTGCTTGCTATAATATGTCACTATAGTCATTACTGTGCTTGCTATGCCACTATAGTCATTACTGTGCTTGCTATGTCACTAGTCATTACTGTGCTTGCTATGTCACTATAGTCATTACTGTGCTTGCTATGCCACTAGTCATTACTGTGCTTGCTATGTCACTATAGTCATTACTGTGCTTGCTATGCCACTATAGTCATTACTGTGCTTGCTATGTCACTATAGTCATTACTGTGCTTGCTATGTCACTAGTCATTACTGTGCTTGCTATGTCACTATAGTCATTACTGTGCTTGCTATGTCACTAGTCATTACTGTGCTTGCTATGTCACTATAGTCATTTCTGTCTTGCTATGTCACTAGTCATTACTGTGCTTGGGTATGTCACTATAGTCATTACTGTGCTTGCTATGCCCCTTTGTCATTACTGTGCTTGCTATGTCACTAAATCATTACTGGCTTGCTATGTCACTAGTCATTACTGTGCTTGCTATGTCACTTAGTCCCTTACTGTGCTTTTCTATGTCAACTAATCATTACTGTGCTTGCCCATGTCACTATAGTCATTACTGTGCTTGCTATGTCACTATAGTCATTACCCGTGCTTTATGTTCATAGTCATTCCCCCTTTATTCACTATAGTCATTACTGTGCTTGTAAATGCACTATCATTATGTGTTTTGTATCCCAAACCCCAAAAATCATGATGATGCTTGGTATTCCATGCCCTTAGTGTTGTATTCCCTTAGTAACACGGGGGTTTTTTGGTTTCTTTCTTCCTACACAATATGCTTACTTAGCCATTTCCCTTTTTTTTATTATAATAAAATCATTACCCCGGGTTTCAAAACCCATAACTTGAATGACACCAAAATTTTTATGGGTTATTACATGCCTGTTTTATGAGCTAAAACCCTATCTTACACTGAGGGGGAAAACACGGGTTTTTTTAAAAGGGATTTCCTTTTTTGTAACACACCATGCCTTAAAAATCCAAAACAAAATTATTTTAATTATATTAAAACCTAAGCCTACACCCCAAAGGGTTATTTCCCAAACCCCAAAAATGAGCCTCTAAAACAATTGATTTTCATTCTGTTTATTTTAACAAAAAAATTAATGTTGTTTTAAACCCGGAAAATGAAAAGCAAAACCTGGGTTTTCAAGAAGTTTATTTAAATCTTCATAAAACTTTCAACAAAGTTTTAAAGGAAAGGTTGATTTTTTAATTATTTGGAAATTTTTTTAAACTCTCTTATCATTGGAGTTAAACCCGAAAAAAAACCTTCAATTAACACAAAATGTTTTCAACTTTAAATTAAATTTTTATTTTAATTCCAAAAATTGAGGAAGTGAGGTTAAATGTTTTTTTTAAACTAAAGATTTATACAAGAACAGCAAGACTGGGAAGTGTATAAGAAATGTTTAGGGTAAATCTGTTCTTATTTTCAACACAAGTTAATTATTGTTCGTTGTTTATTAAGGTATTCTGTGAAAATTTTTTTTTTAAAAATGCTGGCTGTCTCCCAATGAGGCAGGTGACCCGAATAAAAAATTTAAACACTTTCACCATTATTCACATTTATTAACTGTCTTGCCAGAGGCAAGTAATTTTTTCAGGTATACACAAATACGTTACAAAAGATTATCTTACATGCGCATATGTGTAGAGAACCTGGGATAACAAAAAAATCCCTCCAAACTAAAAATACCCAAAAAACCCCCTTTTAAAGTGTAGGCACTGTACCCCCCACCTCCAGGACTCAATTTCTGGCTAAGGGTTTCCTTGAATCCAGTCACAAAATTTACCTGCTCACATCCTGGCAGCTCGTCAATACCAAAAAAAATCATTTGTTCCACTCACTCCTATTTTCACACACTATAATGCCTGCAGTCACTGTTTTGTTGTGATTTTTTCATTATGTATCTATTAAATATTTTACATATTTATTAATCCCCCATGGGGAAATGGAACAGAATTCTTTCCCACTGTAACCCCATGTGTTTTGTAAAGGTGACTTAAATGCCGGAGAAGGGCTAGTAACTCTCTCCTGTATACATTACTTAAATTTAAAAAAAAAAGAGAAACTTTAGTTTTTCTTATTAGCCCACCCTGCTTCAGTGGGAGACAGCCCAACAATCTAAACTAAATGAAAGGGCATTATGAGGATTATTTGTAAATATATATGGGCAGATAAATCAAAAACATTTGACCAGCATTTTGTACAACCTTAATTTGAATCAATGCTGAGTGAATGGTTGCAAAAAAGTGAACTATATTAATAATCCCAAAGGAAATGTGAGCATTTACCTCTAGATCAACCAGGTTGTGATGGCTATATGCACCAGGGGCCCAGCATCACCAGCCTGAGTGACCAGACAAGCCTGATCCAGGACAAGGCTATGGCAGTAGGGAAACTCTTGAAACACCATCAAAGGTAGGTTAAAAAAAAACTTTCAAAGGAATGCAAAGCGTTTTATACAGTCGCCCTAATTGAACATAATGGAGGTCTAAATGGGCTTTTTAAAACCTTAAAATCAAAATTTTTCTCAAAGTTGTTAATTTTAAAGTGATCTAATCTCTAAAGTTTTCTATTCTCTGAAAGTCTCTCCAGGATCTCAAAGGGACCCAAGTTAATTAAACAAAAAAAAAATCACTTCACTTTGAAAAGACTCTTTTAAAGTAATGTCCAGAAGTCTTATGGTTATTTTTCATTTTCCAGATTCGTTTCAGTGAAAAAATGGTATCAAAAAATTGAACGAGATCTAATTTTAATTTTGCTTTAATTAATTCTTAGAAAAATTTTCAAATTTCTCTTGAAACTTTCAGCTAACTTAATGAAAGCCCCTTTTCAGGCAATTTCCCACTTTTATCCAGAAAAAGACAGGTGTAATGAAACCTTCAAAACTAACCAACCCATGATTGACACTCTAGATCAGCTGAAACGACTCGTTTGGGGGGAATTGGCCAGGATGTCAGAGATTTCACTCCTACCGGGAAATAAACACCTAAATTATATTGATTCAACTGTCCCTGCCATTCCGGATTGGGGCAGTGCTGCCAACCCCAAAGCGTTACTCCTCAAAAAATATAGATTCAACAAGGAGGGCCAACCACTGCCTTGGGGGGTTAGATTTTCAATACGGAAAAAAATAACATTAAATATTCTCTATTTTTGCCGTACCAGAAACACCTTTTATCAGCCTTATAAAAAGGGGCCCTGGTACAGAGCCCCTTACGATCTTATCCCATAAACATAGGTTTAATTTTGTCCACAGGATGTGTCCCACACCAGTCGACTAACACCCAGGTACCTACTTACTGCTAGGTGAATGAAAACAACCACAATACTGTGGCTTGAACAACTGACAAAAACCCGCACTTAGGAATCTTGTGACGACATTTTGGCCATTCCTGCATCTCTGCAAGGCTTGAGAATGCTCCAGGATGGACTGAAAAGTGTCATAAGGCCCCTCTCCATAGTGGGGGTTAATTCTGCACGTCTGCTGTATATGTGCATTTGCAAAGATAAGATAGTGGAAGTAAATACTGATACAGCCTAAAGGAGAAATCCCAACATTTTCCTGGTAGGCCTATCTAATCCTCCTAGGTTATTCACTAATTTTTGCAAGAGAGCCACTTCGGTTAAACACACTGATTGAGAGAGCCAGTTAGCATAACTCAACTAAATTTAGTAGTACTGAGCTGCTAGTGAAATACAGTAAATGAGAAAAATTAGACACGGTAATATTAGCCTGCATATCTTGTTATTGGCAGCTCGCGAGCCGCGCAATGAATATGGGTCTCAGCCTAGGTCAGACCTAGGCTGAGACCCCTACACCTGCAGTAGAGGTGGATCCCTCGCTTATCTCATACTATGATAGATATATACACTTAAAATATATA